GAAAATCGTGAGACAAGCCAGAGCGGCGAAAGCGCGATTCCTGAGTGTCGAGGGCGCGGCGTCTGAATCCATTACACAGAAATCTCGCACGAGAGCGCGATCCCTGCATAATGTGTAAGGAAATCCAGCGTACGAGCACGAATTGGAATCCAATGTCAGAAAGCACCAAGCAGGAACCGTTGTTGTTGTAACTCGGGGGCCAAGGGGCCCAAATTGGTGCCCTCCCGCTTACTTTTTAGAAAATGAACAATATCACGGCGGAAGACCCAACGATGCGCAAATGTGAATACCGCGTTGTGGGTACCGCTTTCGGTGGAGCTCCATATGTGGCCACGAAACGTGTGAGGGGTGTGCCAAAATGAGCGTCGGGCGCAAACGGCCTGTGCCACTGGGGCCTTCGGTGGGGATCCCTGTGGGGCCACGAACCGTGTGACGGGTGCGCCGACAATGGTGGCGGTCCCCCGCATGCGGACCCTGCCACTGGGGCCTTCGGTGGAGCTCCCTGTGGGGCCCCGAACCCTGTTGGGCCACGAACCGTGCGAAATGTGTACCAAAATGAATGGCGGTCCCCGCATGCGGACCGCGGGGCTCCCTGTGGGGCCACGAACCGTGGGTTGGCGGTCCCTCCATGCGGACCCTGCCGCTGGGGCCTTCTGTGGGGCTGCCCGTGGGGCCACGAACCGTGTGAATAGTGCGCCGAAATGGGTGGCGGTTCCCCGCATGCGGACCCTGCCACTGGGGCCTTCGGTGGGGCTCCCTGTGGGGCCACGATCCTCGTAATGGGTTTGCCCAAATGGGTGGCGGTCCCCGCATGCGGACCCTGCCACTGGAACCTTCGGTGGAGCTCCCTATGGGGCCACGGGCCGTGTGAAGGGTGTGCCTAAATGAATGGCGGTCCCCGCATGCGGACCCTGCCGCTGGGGCCTTCGGTGGAGATCCCTGTGTGCCACGATCCTTGTAAAAAATGTGCCTAAATGGGTGGCGGTCCCCGCATGCGTGCGGACCATGCCACTTGAGTCGTCGGTGGAACCCCCTATGAGGCCACGAACCGTGTGAAGGTTGTGGCAAGATGGGTGGCGGTCCCCGCATGCGGGCCTTGCCATTCTGGCCTTCGGTGGAGCTCCCAAAGAGCCACGAAACGCTGTCCTGGGTGGCGTTGGCGCATGCGGGCCCTGCCAATGGAGCCTTCGGTGGAGCCCCCTGTGGGGCCACGAAACGCTGTCCTGGGTGGCGTTGACGCATGCGGACCCTGCCACTGGGAGCTCCCAAGGGGGCCACGAAACGCTATCCTGGGTGGCGTTGGCGCATGCGGGCCCTGCCACTGGAGCCTTCGGTGGAGCTCCCTATGGGGCCACGAAGCCCTGTACTGGGCGGGTGCAACGCAGGGAGGTGACGAGGCGGATGGGAGGAGGGGGGAGGGGGAAGAGGAATGGGAGGAAGAGAAGCTCCTTGCGGGGCCACGATCCTTGTGAAGTGTGTGCCATAATGGGTGGCGGTCCCTGCATGCGGGCCATGCCAATGTGACCTTCGGTGGGGCTCCCTGCGGAGCCACGAACCCTGTGAGGGGTGAGCCAAAATAGGCGTCGCGCGCATGCGGCCTGTGCCACTGGGGCCTTCGGTGGGGATCCCTATGGGGCCACGAGCCGCTGTCCTGGATGGCGTTGACGCATGCGGCCTGTGCCAGTGGAGCCTTCGGTGGAGCTCCCTATGGGGCCACGAAACGCTGTCTTGGGTGGCGTTCACGCATGCGGGCCCCGCCACTGGAGCCTTCGGAGGAGCTTCGTGGTGGTTGACGCATGCGGGCGGTCCCAGTGGGACCTTCGGTGGAGCTCCCTATGGGGCCACGAAGCGCTGTACTGAGTGGGTGAAGCGCAGGGGGGAAGGGCTGTGCTGGGTGGTGGTTGACGCATGCGGGCGGTCCCACTGGGACCTTCGGTGGAGCTCCCTATGGAACCACGAAGCGCTGTACCGGGTGGATGAAACGCAGGGGGAAGGGCTGTGCTGGGTGGTGGTTGGCGCATGCGGGCGGTCCCAGTGTGACCTCCGGTGGAGCTCCCTATGGAACCACGAAGCGCTGCACTGGGTGGGTGCAACGCAGGGAGGAAAGGCTGTGCTGGGTGGTGGTTGACGCATGCGGGCGGCACCACTGGGCCCGTCGGTGGAGCCCCCTGTGGGGCCACAAAACGCTGTACTGAGTGGGTGAAACGCAGGGGGGAAGGGCTGTGCTGGGTGGTGGTTGGCGCATGCGGGCGGTCCCATTGGGACCTTCGGTGGAGCTCCCTATGGGGCCACGAAGCGCTGCACTGGGTGGGTGGGTGCAACGCAGGGAGGAAAGGCTGTGCTGGGTGGTAGTTGACGCTTGCGGGCGGTCCCATTGGGACCTTCGGTGGAGCTCCCTATGGAACCACGAAGCGCTGCACTGGGTGTCTGAAACGCAAGGAGGAACACGCTGTGCTGGGTGGTGGTTGGCGCATGCGGGCGGTCCCATTGGGACCTTCGGTGGAGTTCCCTATGGGGCCACGAAGCGCTGTACTGGATGAGTGCAACGCAGGGAAGCGGGAAGAGGGGGAGAAGGGGGAGGAGGGAGGAGGAACGCGAGAACCGTCTCTTCAAAATGAGGACCCAAACCACAAGATGGTTGGGAAAACAATTGGCCTGACAAAAGACCCAACCATATGCAGCTGCGGGTGCCGCTTTCGGTGGGGCTCATGACCGCCCAAGAAGCCTCCACGATGGCCCCTGCCCAAGAGCCCCCCCATGAGGGCCCCACGATGGCCCAAGAGGTGACGCGATGCCCCACGAGGCATACATGACGGCCGAAGAAGGCCTCCAGCAGGACACAAAGCGGGCTTGGAAATCTTTTAGACTGTCCAAGACGGCTCCACGACATCCCCAAGCACTCACCGTACAATAAGAGGGCCTTAAGACGGCGCTAGTGAGCCCCAAGACGGCGCAAGAGGGCCCCAAGACGACCCCCAAAGGGCCCCACGGGACCCCCAATACTGACTCGCCTCACAGGAGGCCAAGGCAATCCCACGACGGCCCAAACGAGTTCCATGCGAGCTCGAAGTCGAAAGGTGTAACATGTGACGGCAATCCTCTTCCTCCTCCTCCTCCTCCTTCACCTCCTGCTCCTGCTCCTACGCCTGCTCCTGCTCCTCCTCCTCCTCTGCCTTCTCGTCATCATCGTCATCACTAGCATCAGCTTCAGCCTCCTCCTCATCCTTCTCCTCCTCATCAGTATCATCATCAGCAGCATCATCATGCTCATCATGTTCACCATGCCCATCATAGCAGCATCATCATCATGATCAGCAACATCATCATCATCATCACCACCATCATCTTATCAGCACCGTCATCATCCTCCTCATCACCATCAGCATCATCATCATCGCCCTCATCATCATCGTCACCGTCTTCGTCATCACCATCATCATCACCACCAGCATCAGTATCATTATCAGCATCATCACATTCATCGTCATCAGCAACAACAGCGTCAACACCATCACCATCACCATCACCATCACCACCAACATAATCATCATCATCTTCAGCACCATCAGCAGCATCATCATCCATCATCATCATCATCATCATCATCATCATCATCATCATCATCATCTTCAGCGTCATCACCATCATACTCATCATGAGCATCATCAGTACCATCATCAACAATATCATCCTAAACATCATCAGCGTGAACATCAGCATCAGCATCCTCATCCTCATCCTCGTGTCCATCCTCATCATCACCAGCATCATCACTATCACGGTAAGCGTCATCGTCGTTATCAGCATCACCACCGTCCCCACCACCATCATCACCACCATCACCATCACCATCACCTTCATTATCATCATCATCAGCAGCATCATCATCATTATCATCATCATCATCATAATCATCATCATCGTCGTCATCATTATCATCATCAACAACATTATCATCATGATCAAAAGCACATCTCTCCAACCCTCGAACAATCGCCGCCCAGAATGCTCGGCTGGCACGGTGGCGGGACTTGCCGCAGGCAGTTGGATTTTCCTACCAGCGCCGCACTAAGCCAGAATAGGTGGGGCCAGAATAGGTTGGGCCACATCGCCAATGCAACGCCGATGGGTCAGCGACGTCGGGACGGAGAAACTCGGACTCGGGATCGTGCCGAATCGCCGATACGTCGGCAATGAGGCGCGGCGATGAGGCGCGAGGCCTCGACCCCATCTGTTCTGGCTCCATCGGGGGCCTGGATGATGGTAACTATAAGCTGACAGTCGCACTGACACATCTAAGTAATAGTTCGAGCGGAAAACGCAACACCACACGACGATACAAGAATTCGAGCTTAACCTCAAAAGAAACAGCAACGGAAGCCAGGCTCAATCTCACACTAAACTCGAAGCATCGGCTGCAAGCTACAAAGAAATCAGTCGAAGTCAAGGCTAGAGAGAGAGGTACTTTCAACACTAAGCACTGATTGCGAGCCAGGGCCCCAGTATTACTACGTCAGTCTAGCTGGGCAGTTGCTGACCATGGAGATGTAGCTACATTACTGCTAAACTGAAAAATACTGCATGCACGGGCGCACGGGAATGCAACCTCAAATCACAAGAGATGCAACTATGAAAGCACATCGCATTTTGCACTGGATAGGACCTGACATGAAAATATCAAGCTCATACCAGGGCAACCGCCACGGCACCACGGCATCATAATATAACACGACCAACGCGGCATGCCAACAATAACAGAGAAGGTCACAGCCTACGGCAGAGCTCATCTAAACTTCAAGCCAAATACCGATGGAACGACAGTGAAAACAATTAACAAAACAATGGTGAACCCTGGTGCAACGGAACCGCGACACCACTCAACTACGACACCACGACACGACGACATTTCGACACTACGCCACTGGGACACCGCGACATCACGACATGGCGAGATCGCGCGTCATGCACAACACGAACCTGCAAGACTACACGTTCCAAGTCGGGGGCTTTCTCGTTGAGACTTACACACACACACCTCATCCAGAACTCGGCATGCGCAAAGCAGAGCTGTTTATAAGCATCCATGAATGTGGTCTCACAATCAGTCAGAGGAGCACCGACAAAGCCGCCCGCTCCCGCCACCAGCAACCGGCTAGTCGCTCTCACCACTACGTCACTACGTGCGCAATGCTGGATTGCCTTCATCCGCTACTCAAAATGCCCCGCCAAATCAGGGGCGCGGCGAAGGCATGCCAGGCATGCCAGGCATGCCCGCCTTGGCCATCATGGCAGCGAGCCCTGGCATGGAGCCACCACAGCCTGGCATGCCGCCCAATCCTGGCATGGCGGGCAGACCCCCTGGCTTCGCAAGCGCGGCCATGCCGGGTAGGGCACCGAGGCCGGGGAGGCCCGGGAGGCCTGGGAGGCCTGCGGGCCGCATGCCGGGCAAGCCCGGGAAGCCGCCTGGAAGGCCTGGAAGCATGCCGGGACGAAGCCCCGGGAGACCCGGCAACCCGCCCATCAGGCCAGGCAGGCCCGGGGGCGCCGCCGCCTTGGCCGGTGCCTTGGCCGTCGCCTTGACTTTCCTCGGTTTGTCCGTCTCAACGAGCTCGTCCTTGCCCATCTCCTCCGGCTGCACATAGAGGACGTTTGTGCCACGAAGCACGATGAAGCCGAGCATGCGTTTCAGCTCCTTGCCCTCGGGCTTGCCCTTGACCTTATACTTGCGGTACTCCTCGGTGTTGCAAAGGACGAGGTTTACGTGGCGGTCCACGGCCATGAGCACACCAACCAATACTCGGCCATCTGTCAGCGTGACGCTCACGCGCCAGTTGAAGAAATTCGCCAGGCGGCGGCGGACTTGCTTGACCTTTCCCATGGCCAGCTGGCGAAACTGTTCTTCCTTCAAAGACTGTCCAGCCGGACTGGCTAGAGCCAATGGCTAGGTGCTACGGACTCCCCTCCCCCCCTACCCTCGCATCCCTTCCCCTGATCCTCTCCCCAAACGGCCAGGGCCGCCTGGCTGATGCTGGACTGGACCCTCTTGGCCTCATCCCCTTTCACGTCTACAACAAGGCTTCTGCTTACGAGAGGGGAGCAGCAATGTCACGATACTCTGTCGCACGAGGCCCCTCCCACGCTAGGCTTCCTCTCCACACTCCCCCGTAGGACTCCACGAAAGGAGGAGACTGCAGGAAGCCATTCATGAAGTAAGGATCTGCGCTGTCGCCCTGACGGTTCGACCACTCTTGCACACAACGGTGTTCTTGCTCCAACAGGCGAGTCCTGCCGCCGCCCTCCGTCTCGAAGCTCGATGCAATGCACTTGAGATTTGACCCCCTTCCATCCCTGAGCCTCCCTGTCTCCCTCACCTTCCGCCCTGCCTCCCCGAGGTCCTTTCCCTCTCCTCGCTCCCGCCTTCCCGTCTCCACCCCGCCCTCCCTCCCTCCCCTCCCATCCTTGGGGGCGGCCAAGAGAGGGGTGTCCAAGAGGGGGGGGGTGCAAATCATGACCAGCGGCATGTGCGCGGCCCAGCGGGGGGGCCAGGGACGTCATGAAACAAGAAGAGGCGCCGTGAAACCTGTGGAAATATCATGGCCCACGCCATGATACCCACCCACCCCTAGCCATCACCCCCCTCCCTCCCTCCCCTCCCATCCCCCCCTAAAACGACGCGAAGATCGGGACAAAATCGGATCGGGATAACTCGAAATCTCTGAGAATCGGCGGGTTTGGAAGGTGTACTGGGCGCCGCGGCCGCTCCAGAGCGTTCCGGAACGCTCTGAGAGCGCTCCGGAACGCTCTGGAGCGATTGATCCCGATCCTAGCCCTGTTTTACCCCCCCCTCCTTCCTGCGCCCCACTCCCTGCCTCACTGAGTCCCCCCCTCCCTTCCCGGGCCCGTGAACCCAGCAGCACGCCTCGAGCAGGTCGCCCATGCCGGCCAGCGCTGCCGCCTGGCCGCGGGCCGCGGCCAGACGACACGCAGCAGCCGAGAGGCAGGGCCGCGCGAGCCGCCCGCTGGAAGTGCAGGCCCGTGGAGAACAGAAGGGGCCCTGGGACACACAGATAAACGCACACACACACACAAATAACAGGATTCCCCACATTTTCACATACTTTCTGGGTCTTTGCATTCCCCCCCACCACCCATATTTTCCCATATTTTTCCTGGGGGTCGACGATGAATTGTGCCTGTGTGTGTTTTTTCCCTCCTCAAACATGGGAAGAGCGGCCGGGCGGACGAACAGGGGAAAGGGAGGGCCAATGGGGCAGCGAGACCAGCGCCGGAAGCGGCCATGTCATGTCTCGGGGCGGGCGCCTGGCGGCGGTGCCGACACCAGCTGCGTGCAGCAGAATTGGGAATCCCCCCCCTTCCCCGGCCCCCTCTGTCGTCCGACCCCAGAGTGGAGGGTGCACTCCCCGAAGGTACTGCCCACACGCCCTGGATGCGCAGACCCCCGCGCCCGGGGGCTGACAGAGCGTGTGCTCGGCCCGGGGCACTCTTCCAGAGGAGGACGAGGGGCCAGAGGAACTCGGCCCTCCCAAAAGAACTCGTCCAGCCCCGTTGAGAGCGGAGGGGGCCCAGAGCGACATCCCCGAGCCGCCTCGCAGCGCCCCGCGCGGCCATCGGAGTACCTTGCTGCTGCTGCTCTTCCCCCAGTGACGCAAGACATTGTCCAAATGGTCGCCAAGAGGCCCCTCTGGCCTCGATACTCTCCCCAACAAACGCCCAAAACGATGCCAACCATGCAAACTACATGGGCAGAAGACTTTGATCCGCCACCGTGCCCCCTCTCACGCTCTGGCGGGGAGAAATGAGGGCTGTGGTAAGATATCAGCCATTCTCGAAGCATCCCCCCCCCGTAGCGCCAACTCGCATGTACCACCACCCCCTCACGAAATCCTCTGAACGCTCCGACGTCACCCCCTCGGTCTCCAAAGCATCCAAGGTGGTCTCCAAAACGGCCCGACAGTGACCCAACGATGCCCAAGAGGCCCAAAAAGACTGCCCAGGAGGCCTCGAGAGGCCCCAATAGAGGCGCCAAGAGAGGATCCAGACAGACCAAGTCATTGATCACGATGCAAGCATTCAATGTTCGTTGCTCCCCAGCTTGTTTGACTCAAGACGGCCTCGAGAGTGCCCAAGAGGTCTCAAGGCTGCCCCAGTGTGGCTCAACAGTATCGGAACATGGTATTGTGGCCCAAGAAGAGACTGAGAGGGCCTAACAAAGTCAGGGAGACGCCCAAGAAGGCAAGGACGGCATCCAGACGACTCAAGAAGACCCAGAGACGCACCCAGAGACACCCAAGACGCAACCCCCACCAGAAGGGGCCAAGACTACCAAAGCCATTGAAGCAACTCTGAGCTAGAACAACAATTCATACCAATTCATGCACGCGCGAAGAGGAATGACAACCCCCGAATACATCAAGCAAATATTCCAACGACCCGTAATCCGTCTTCATACGAACACAATATGATCATCACAAACTGGAGGTGGCGGCACAACTGTCGCCCTGTAAGAAAAGAACGGCTGCCCCGGCTTATACGTCCAATACAGACCATCCGTACCATGGAATGTCGATCGGCCGCTAAGCAACGCCAGCGCGAGACCTCCGATCTCGGCAACGGCATGTCCTGGCCCGTGACAGTGAAGATAAGGGAGTTTGGTGACCGCTGCGGTTTCATCGATGGTTGCGATGCGAGCTCGAGATTACCAAGATCTCACGTTGAGCTCGCCCTTATTAGTATGCAACCCATCGGTCTTGTTCCATATCGCCGTGCGGCTTTTGGAATTCAGCGCCGGCACGAAGAACGTGCTGTCGAACTTGTCAGCCGTGAACGCGATTGTGGAGTTCAGACGGGGCTGCGCAGGTTCACGAAACCCACGCTGGCGTGGAAGTGCCCTATCCCGCCTCCCAACGAATATAACTGTTATTGGCACAAGGGGGACAAGTTCCAAAACACATCAACCTTGTCATTGTGCTCAGCGCGCGCCATCCGCGCTGGCCTGAGAGTACGCTGGCGGCTCTGGCAATGGCAGTGGTGGCATGGGCTTCTCGGCGTCAAGACGTCCGTCGCCGCAACGCTGCTCCGAGTCGGCGGCCTCATTCCTCGCAGCTCAAACCTGGAATGCAGCCATCGAACCAACAAGGCTGTTAATTACGGATGCGAACACCGTCTGTTCGCACATCCTCCGTCAAGCGTGTGAGGAGCCCCCTGATACTCCTGACGCCGTTGAGGGCTTCGATCATGGCCATTCCATCTGGCCGCGAGACGTTGCATGCTTCCATTACAGCAGGGATGCCGCCCATCATGTCAGCAAGGCTTTGGAGGCCATCGGGCAAGTCTCGCTTCCACATCTGACTGGGCGCAGTCTCCGCGCCTCGCAGCGCACCATCGGCGCCAAGCCCGCTGCAGTCTGCTCGCGCGGCAGCTGCACGCCCAGAGACGATTGCACGCACCAAGTAGCCGCGAGAAAAAAAGGCCAATCACAATTTCAACCTCGTGACGCGAACCCCAATGTTTGCTTGAGCCAAGGCGGGTTGACCCAAAACGGCACTACGGATTGCAACGACGATGGTGGTGCTGGCGATGATGGCGCTGGTCTTGTAAAATTCTGATTGGCATGGTATGCTCATTATAGGATTTCGCCGGACGAAGTCATCTATTTCTGCAATCGAGCCGCAAGGCACTCAGTGGAACGTCCGAATCCACTTGCTGGTCGAAGATTTGAAAGCGTACTGGCCCCAAGCGGTACATCGGTTTTCGCTTCGGCTCGAGTCGTGCGTGCAGGCGAGGCGGTGTGAAGGCGATGATGTGGCTGCCAAGGCTAAGGCCAAACCCCGTGGGTTGCCCCGTGGAACCCCATGGTTGTTCCGTGGGTCGTCTCGTAGGTTACCCCGTGGTTGTCCCGCGGTTGTCCTAAGATTGCCTCGATTATCCTCGGGGATGTCCCGTGGGGAATGCATCTGTGAATGCAAATCCAATTCAACATCGGAATGCAAATCGAAATGCGTACGAGTTTAATTCCAAAACCATGGCAGATCAAAACGCATACCAGCATGACAGTCCACATCAACAATAGAACACACATCGAACGAACATCAAACCACGTCGAACAACGAATCGAACTGCACATTAAATTGCACTCGAAATGGCACAACAAATGCAAAGCGGAGCGCATAGCAAGGTGCAAACCAACATTGGCATCGAAATGCACACAGGCATGCACAGCAAATGCACGCAGACGTGTGCACAAAATGCATGTACACATACAGACCGGCATGCAAACAAGGCGGACCGACATGCAAATCGATGAACAACCCTGCACATAATCGAACTCTAAATCGACATGTACAACGAAATGAACATATATGTGAAATCGACATGCAACTGAACCTTCCAATCGTATTGCACTCGGCATGTATATCGAAATACACATCGGAAATGACATAGACTATCAAATTGCTCCGGCCTCCCGGCCTCCCACTGACCCGACAAATGGTCTATGAAAGATTTGCTACGTACGAGATGTCGGTCGCGAACTCCCAGAATTCCTGGGCGCCCTTGGGGTTTCTCGTAAGACTTGTCCGGAAGCCTCGGGAGCGTTTTTTTTTTCCTCGACGTCAGGACCAACATCTGATGGTAAGATGTGGCGTACAGCGAATCCATACTTAATGATCCGTCGCAGAGAGCCAACTGTCTCGTACTGCCCCGCGTGGGCCACGCTGCCAGGGTGCTGCGCAGCGGGGCTTCCTGCGCTGCGCGTGCCAAGCAACGTCTCGGATGCTAGCTGAAAAGGTATTCGGCCGCTTCATCCTCGGCGACTGTATCGAACTCAGGTGAGGCCTCCACCTCACGTAGCTCCTCTGCTTGTGCAGGCACGGCTGTGGGGAGAGGTGGAGGCACGTCGGAGGCGGGAGGGTACGTGACCGTGACCGTGCTACTGCTA